CACTTCTTGACTTTGCTTGTACTGTGATCTATATACTTACCTGCATGCCTACACTTACTAGGTTGTGATCACTGTACTGCTTGTTCCCATATCTATAACTTTGCATGTGAACTGGCCTTGTGGCCATTTGCTTGTGCTCAGAATGCGTGGTGACTTCGTGATCCACCCTGAGCTTGCTTTGCCTTTCTTGGCTGGTCTTGTGTCCCCTTGTTCTCCCCCACTTTGCCTATGGGGGTGTGTCAAACATATATGCTGCTTGTTGTTTAGGCTGTAGTGGGGTAGCCCGTTTGGGGTACAACCCAAAGTAGGGTTTCCTACTTGTACCCATCCTGCTGCTAGTTCATTGATCCCTGTTCGTTATTCTGACACGATAAACCCTAGCGACATCTAAAGTGTCACATTTAAGGTTAACCGGATTTACGCGTTTCTTCAAACAGGTGAACAAATACAGTGGACCATTATGAGGGTTGTGGATTAATGCACACAAGGTGTATCCAGCGTCATGACAGGTTCAATTTCGATAATGCACAGCGCGTTTCTACTCTGATCCTAACCTTTTGACTCTGAACAATCAGACTAATAACTTCCTAAAACTGAGCAATCAGGGTGATGTTTTCTGGAAAATATGCACCCATAATACAGGGGGATTTTTTTTCCCCCGAATTCAGGGAGGCCTAATTTCAAACGTCAGCCCTACCGCACAGTCGCGCTGGTATAGCAAAGCTGTAATCAGCTGCACTTCCGACCAATCAAGGTTGCGCAGCAGGCAGCGTTGGTAAGATTCCCTGCCAAGAGTCAGCTCCGGGGTAGGTCATTCGGTTGGGGCAGCGTTTTGTCGCGCGATGTCTGTCGTGGTTGGCACAAACTTTCAAAGGAGGCTGACGTGGAAAGCGTCATGTATACGCCAGTCGTCGGGTAGCAGCAGCTTCGCGGTGACAGGTGTCACCATCTTGATGATCTTGAAAGGCTGACAAAATCGTGGCTGTCACTTTGACGAACCGGGCAAGTGCAGATTTTTCGTGTCGAGGAGCACTAGTTGCCCAGCGGTCAAGATGAGTTCCCGGCGTAGAAGATCAGTGTATTTGCGGGAAGTCGTATTTGCTTTGCAGATTGTGTCCGCAGCTTTCTCGCGAATCTCCTGCAGCTCCGTCACAAAGGTTTGTGACCGCGGTACGGGGTTGTCGAGTGTAGTCGTGGTCGGTACCGTTGGGTCCATCCCGTAATTCAGAAAGAATGGGGAGTGATTAGTCGTACTCGACGGGGCGTTGTTGAACGCAAACTCCAGCATGGCGAGCAACTCTTCCCAACGGGCCAGGTCAGGGCAGTTTGTCCTGATCAGCTGCTCCATGGTTTGGTTGGTGCGCTCGGTCTGGCCGTCCGTCTGTGGATGGTAAGCCGATGATGTTACGATACGATCTTAACTTAAGAACCGGGTTTAACTAAGGGCCTAGGCTTAGTAGCCTAGGCCAAGCGGGTGTCGAGTAGTTTGTGCCAAGGAGAATTGAAGAATGGTTGGAGGTTCACTATAGCACACGAGTACATATAGCAACCTAACAAAGGTGAAAGAGGTGCACCACCATACAAGGGAATTACACAACAGCTACACTACAGGCAGATTATACTAAATAGATATAAATCTATTATGACAGATGAGAACTGTAGTTTGGTGCCATACTGTGCCCACGTCTCCTTCCAAAACTTCGACGCGAACTTCGGATCTCGGTCACTGATGATCGCCGAGGGAATTCCGTGCAGTCGCGCGACTGTAAATATGAAGAGGCGCGCGGTTTCTACGGCTGTGATGGTTGTACGACACGGTGCGAAGTGCGCCATTTTCGTGAGGCGGTCGACGACGACGAGAACGGCGTCGTTGCCGGACGGTCCAGCTGGCAGCCCTGTGATGAAATCCTTCGTCACCTGTTGCCACGGTCGTTCGAGTGGCTCGAGAGGCTGCAGCAGTCTAGCTGGCCGCTGTGGTGTCGACTTCATTGCTTGGCACACCCTGCATGAGGACATGTATCGCTGCACGTGGTTAGAGGAGTCAGGCCAGTAATATTGACGGTGCAACAATTTTTGGGTTTTGTCGACCCCGAAGTGTCCGGAGAAATTCGAATCGTGGACCTCTTGGATGAGAAGTTTACGCAGCAGCCGATAAGCGGGAACCCAAATCCAGTCAGCTCCGGCCTTTTGGTAATATTCCCCCTTTTGATTTGTGGCCTGCTGGTAATTTCTGGTCGTGAAGGACGGGTCCCTAGCGTAGACGTGGGTGAATAGTCCCGTAAGTAGTGGGTTGGAATGGGAGATGAGTACTGCAGCAGATTGTACTGCCGGTCGGGTCAGGGCGTCGGCGATGTTATTCGCCCCTTTTTTGTACGTTATGCGGTAGGTGAAGTGGCTCTCCATATGATCTAGCCACCGAATTTGACGTGGGTTGAGGTTGGGCTGGGCTCGCAGGTACTGTAGGGAATTGTGGTCCGTGTGAACAGTGACGTCGGCGCCCACCAAGTAGCAGCGTCATAGTTTGAACGCGTGAATAATGGCGAGCATCTCCTTGTCGTGAATCGGGTAGTTCCGCTCGGCTGCCTGTAGCTTGCGTGATTCGTAGGCGATCGATTGCAACTCGTTCCCAAAATCTTGGAGTAGTACAGCTCCGATGGCGAAATCGGAGGCGTCGGTGGCGACTTCGAACGGCTTCGATGGGTCGGCGATGAGCAGAACAGGAGGGGAAACGAGAAAATTCTTTAGCTCCTGGAAAGCCGCCTCTGCCTCCTCCCCCCACACATAATTCTTATCCTTGCGCAGCAAGTCGGTCAGCGGGCCGGTTATCCCCGCCATATTCGGGATAAACCGCCTGACGTAGTTCACAAACCCCAGAAAACTCTGTAGTTCCGTGACGTTCGTCGGGGACTTCCACTCCTGTATGGTCTTGATTCTCACACGCCACGTCGCGTGAGATGACGTCGCCAAAAAATTCCAACTCTTGCTTAAAAAACTCGCACTTAGAGCCCTTGGTGATGAGTCAATTCTCCTGCAACCGCGTAAATACTGCGTCAAGATCGTGGAGATGCTGCTCCCGTGTCTTGCAAAAAAAATAGGATATCGTCCAGGTAGACGATGACACATCGGTCTAGAAGATCCCGAAAACCCTGTTCATTGTTAACTGAAATGTCGAAGGCGCGTCCAAAAGGCATCACCGTGAATTCGTAACTCCTGTAGCGTGTGCGAAAATCAGTCTTGTGACAGTCGTTGGCGAAGTCTCGAATCTGATGGTAACCGCCACGTAAGTCAATCTTCGAGAAATAGCGAGCACCGCGAAGTTGGTCGAGGAGGTCGTCGGTTCGTGGGATTGGATAGCGAGACTTGATGGTCACCCAGTTCAGCGTGCGATAGTCGTGCACATGCGAAGCCCGCCGTCTTTCTTCGGAGTGAACCGGATCGGTGCTGCGAAGGGAGATGTGCTGGCCCGGATGAATCTTTTCTCCAACATTGCATCAATCTGACTCCGTTGCTCCTCGAGTTTCGGCTGGATCAACCGCCACTGTGTCCGAACAGTCGGTTGCGCGCCAGGTTCCAGCTGGATTTTGTGATCCTTAGGTCTCTCGGATGGCAGTCCAGGTGGCAGGTCGACGGGGAAAATGTCGGGCATCGAATCAGCTCCGCTAAATCTGGTGGTACAGCTGCACACAGCTTCTCGATGTCCTTTCCGTCGGTGTCAACTGCCAACTCGCGTAAGCAAACAGCGAACAGCTGCGTGCCCCTGTTGAAGTGGCGAGCTATAGTGGTAGCTTTGACGCTCGGGGCTTGGATGTAGTCAGATGTCCATGCAGGCAATTTAATTAGCCCCTCGTGCTTCTTGATGCTGCACGATCTCGTTGTCCAGTCGATGACGGGGTTGTGCCGTCGCAACCAATTACGTCCCAGCAACACGTCGCAGCCATCCAGTATTGTCGCGAGGAACTTCATGCTGAAGCCGAATCGTCGCCGCATTCGATCCTGACCGTACGTGTTTCCTCCAAAATCGCCAGAGGCGTCCCGTCCACGAGGCGAGCGTCAATTTCGGGCAGACACCTGTCAAGTTGCAGCTTGCATTTTTTTGCTGTCGCCAAGTTGAAGAGGCTATGGCTGGCCCCCCATCGACGAACATTTTCAAGATATTTTTTAACACCTTGCCAGCGACCAGCACAGGGTGATCCACATGATTATCCCCGTTATTCGGCCGAGTGCGATCGATTGCATGAATTGGAACCACGACTCGGTGGGGATGTGGGGTTCGGGCGACGGAGCACAGTCAGTGAAGGGCCCGCTAATTATTGACTCTTCCCATTTCCCTGCTCCTTCCTGTCGTTCCCCGTCAGCGGCATTTTCTCCTGGCAGTCGCGCATGTAGTGACCCGTCTTCCCACACTTATAACACGGTCCCTTAGGAGGGCGGTCAGGTGTATGGACGGCGTTGATCGTGGCCCGATGGGTTTGGCCACGAAAGCGAATTCCCTCCCGTGAAGCTGCTCTCGCATACTGCATCAACGCATCTGTTGACTCCGCCAGCCGTACTGCTTCTTGGAATGATGTCGGGCAGCCCCTGCGAACCTCGTATTGAATCGTATTTGAGGCCGCTGATGTATTTATCCAACCGCTCTGTTTCCGACATTTCATCCACTTGGTCGGCGAGGCCCATAAATGACGCCGTGTAGTCTTGGACAGATGCCATCTGCGACCAGGCACGCAACTTCATGCGAGCTCGCTCCGAGGCGGATACGTGCTCGAAGCGATCTCATAAGGCTGCGCCCCACTCCTTCCACGTGCGTATCTTGGTCACTCCGAAGATCGACTCTGTCACTTCATTAGTCACTGTTGAGGTCCCGTTTGCCGCATGCGTCACACCTGTCGGGGTCCCCGTTTCCAAGGTCCAAGGTCCGGCAACACCATTCAAGCGCTGCACCTCGAAGTAGCGAAACCGCGTAATTAATATACGTGGCATCGTCGTTTACACCTGCTGCAGATTTATAAGACTTCAACACCGAAAAGCCACCCCTTTACTGTAGTCGTCTTGTCCGTAGGATTAAACGGGGGCGGGTTGACGGGTTTAATCTTGATCGTCGTTACTGCAACTGGCACTGCTGCCGCTCGCTGCCTGTCTTCCTCTTCGAAATCACGTGTGAGCTCGTCCAAAGGATTACTCACCGCTTGACTGTTGCCCTCGCCTTCGTCATAGGGCGACTCCAGGCGCGCTTCACCTCTCGCCTGGCGTAGCTCGGCGTTTTCTCCACGTAGTGTTGTCACTTCCGCCAAAAAGACTTCATGCCCTCTTGCATCTCTGCCACTTGCGCCATCAGCTTGTTAACCGCCTCTTGATCCATGTGCCTAGCGCTACGTCTGGTGGGCAATCGGGTCTCCGTGGCCTTCAGGCAAGTGAAAACACGAACTATCGGAGTCGGGCAGGATTGAATTAACAATCTCTGCGGCCAACCGTCGTGTAGTCACTAAACCAGCCACACCCGCACCAAACTACCCTCAGAAAAGCGGGGTGAACTGGGAAAGTAGCTCTGATACCAGGTGTTATGAGTTGTAAAAGAGAGTGCGCAGGTAAACGAATAACGAGACTGTGATTGAACGAACTGAGAATACAATGAAGGCACGCACAATGTAGGGGCTAGCCTAGCTAGGAGGGAACCTCGGATGATCGAAGTTGGGTGCAGGTTTGGCGAAGGGGAAATGCCGAAGGCGACGCGAGGAGCCTCGGCAGTGTTGATATCTGCCGAACGTGCAGAGTCCGAAAATCGGGGCTGTACATGAAGCAGTCAACCCCGATAAGGAATTCGGGAAAATTCCTTACAGCTGGTGCTTAGCCTACACTCATACCGTACATTGAGGCGGGAAAAACAGCTAAGGTATATAAAAAAAAACACAATAATCAGCCAAGGTACATAAAAAAAAACCTTGGATTCAGCCTAACCCTAAAGAAATATCCTCAATCAGTAGCAACCAAAATGAACGAATTTCACTAAACTACGTTACAAGCTTGGCCTGTACCTGCCACTAACGGTTATTCTCGTTGCTGCTGATGTCGTTGCTGCACCTGCTGCTGTAGCTCGTGAATCTCCTGCCTTTGCATGACGGCTACTGCTGCTACTTGCTGCACGCACTGCTGTAGCACCTGCTGCCGTTGCTCCTGCTGCTGAAGCTGCCTCTGCTGCTGCAGCAGCAGTTGCTGCTGCTGCTGTATCTGTAGCATCAGCTGCTGCTGATTCGGCTCATGAGTCGGCAACAGCACCTGCTGCTGTGGTTGTGGCTCATGAGCTTGTGTCAACTGGTGTATACGCTGCTCCCACTTTTGCTGCTGCTGCTGGTGCTGCTGCTGCACCTGCTGCACATTTGATGACAGATATTGCAACAGCCAATTCCCCTCCTGCATTGGCATTGACGGTTGAAGCTGCACTGTTGACTGCAGTCGTTGAAGCACCAAAGCCATGGCAGCATCGGAAGCAGTGGCAGCCATCCCGGGTGGATGATGAGAGCCATGCAGCCTGCTTGGGGGCCCCATGCCCCCCATGGCTCTCACCACTCCTGGTGTCACAATCGCCTCCATGCCGCCACCACCAGCAGCAGCAGCAGCAGCAGCAGCAGCAGTGCCACCGGCAGCAGCAGCAGCAGTGCCAGCAGCAGCAGCAGCAGTGCCAGCAGGAGCAGTGGCAGCAGGAGCAGTGGCAGCAGGAGAAGTGGCAGCAGGAGCAGTGGCAGCAGGAGCAGTGGCAGCAGGAGCAGGGGCAGCAGGAGCAGTGGCAGCAGGAGCAGTGGCAGCAGGAGCAGTGGCAGCAGGAGTGGCCACTGCTGCCACCACAAGTGCCGTCTCCACCACTGCTTCAGCCAGATTCTGGGAGAGAGGGAGCGGCACAGATGTACCTTCCCCAGGTGTGCCCTGCATGGCTCCTGCTGCCTCTGCCTGCACGAAGAACTCCAGCCCTGGATGCAACCTCCCCCGCCTGCTGCTCGCGCCCCCACCCTGTGTGCTCTCATCTCTGCTGCCCTCCTCAGACCCGTCACTCTCGCTCCCACTCTCACTCCCACTCTCACTCCCACTCGCACTGCTCTCACTGTCACTACTGCTATCGCCACCACTGCTTCTACCATCAACCCCTGCCTTTCTATCCCGCCTGCCATTCACTCCCTTGCGCGCATCCCCCCATGTAACCCTCCTCTGCTTCCCATTGCGCTTCGATTTCCCCCTGTCTCGCTGCCTCTCCTCCTCTCCCTCCTCACCCTCCTCTCCCTCCTCTCCCTCCTGTCCCTCCTCACCCTCCTGTCTCTCCTCGCCCTCCTCGCCCTCCTCGCCCTGCTCGCCCCCTCGCACCATCAACTTCAACCATGCATTCTGAAAAGCCGATCCTTTAGCTGCCCGTTTCCCTGCCCGCCGCTCCAACCGAACCTCTCCAGGTGCCCGATTTAATCGCTTGAACTTCTGTTTCCTCCCCTCCATCCTTCCCGTTTCCTGACCCCCAACGCGTGGGAGGGTGAGAGATGGGGAAAGGTGAGAGAGGGGGAGGTGAGAGTGGGGAGGGTGAGATGGGGGAAGGTGAGAGGTGTCAGGGTAAAAGGGGGGAGGGTGAGAGTGGGGAGGGTGAGAGGGGGGAAAAGGCTGTTGGGAAGCACTGGAGCGGTGGTAACGACTTTGTTGGTGTGTGCCAAGCGGACGGGAGCTGGGCTGATAAGAGGTGGGTTGATAAGAGGTGGGTTGATAAGAGGTGGGTTGATAAGAGGTGGGTTGATAAGAGCTGGGCTGATAAGAGCTGGGCTGAGAAGAGGTGGGTTGATAAGAGCTGGGTTGATGCGAGCTGGGTTGATAAGAGGTGGGTTGATAAGAGTTGGGTTGATAAGATTTGGGTTGATAAGAGGTGGGTTGATAAGAGGTGGGCTGGCATGAGGTGGTCTGATAGGATCCAGGCTGATAAGAGGTGGGCGGATAGGCCGCTGGGGGGCAGGGCTGTGTGGGGGTGGGCTGAGAGCCCCCCTGTGCTGCGAAGGGCTGCATGAGATGCTCAATCAGCTGCAATGCCTGCAGAGGAGAGAAGCGTAGGGGCAGAGAAGCAGGCATGGGGCAAGCGGCTGATGGCGTGGTGAGAGCGTGTGAGCGTGCGGGCATTGCTGCTACAGTCTGAGTAGCGTTCCCCTGCTGCCATCTGCCTGCTGCTGCTGCTGCTGCTGCTGCTGTCTCTGCGCCACCCCATGCACCCATTGCTGTGCTCTGCCCGTGCTGCTCTGGCCCCACCCCCACCGTCGCTGCTGCTCCTGCACCTGCCGGCGCTGCCCCTGCCGTGGGCGGGGTGGGGTGGGGAGCAATCGGCCGTGCCTGGCAGGCAGGCACTGCGCTGTACTGCCGCCCTGCTGGGTCGGCTCGAACTCGCACTGGCTGCTCGCTGAGTGCCCATGACCCCATGCCAGCACCACCGCCACCACCACCACCATCGCCAGCACCACCATCATCATCATCATCATCATCATCACTATCATCATTATTACCACCATCACCACCATCATCACCAGCATGAGCATCAGCAATCCCACTGCGGTCGAAGTACCAGCATCCACGCCGCCTGCATCGCACCCACGTTCCCTCCCCTGCACGCCTCCTCTTCCCATTCCCTCCACCTCCACCACACACACCTTGCGCCACTGCATGCACCGTCTGCTCACCCTGCCCGCCTCCGCGTGCACCTTGCTCCATTCCATGCACCGTGCGCTGACCCTGCCTGTCCCTCCATCCACCTTCCGCCACCGCATGTACCATCTGCTGGCCCGGCCTGTCCCTCCAAGCACCTTCCGCCACTGCATGTACCGAGCGCTCGTCATGATCTTCCCTGCATGCACCTTGCACTACCGCATGCGCCGTCTGCTGGCCCTGCCTCTCCCTGCATGCACCTTGTCTCACCGCATGCACCGTGCGCTGGCCCTGCCCGTCCCTGCTTGCACCTTGCTTCACCGCATGCACGGTGCAGTGGTCCTGCCCGGCCCTGCATACAACCCCCCGATACACCTTGCATGCCACGCGTGCCAGCAGCCTGCCGTGCCACTGCGGCCCGTCCAGTGCCAGCAGCAGCGCACGCACGTCCCGCCACACCACCCACTGCAGCAGCACCGCGCTGGGGTCCCCATAAACGCCCTTCTCCTGCCCCACCTTTCCCTTCTCCTGCCCCACCTGCCCCTTCTCCTGCCCCACCTGAACCTTCTCCTGCCCCACCTGCCCCTTCTCCTGCCCCACCTGCCCCTTCTCCTGCCCCACCCTTCCCTTCTCCTGCCCCACCTTTCCCTTCTCCTGCCCCACCTTTCCCTTCTCCTGCCCCACCTGCCCCTGCTCCTGCCCCACCTGAACCTTCTCCTGCCCCACCTGCCCCTTCTCCTGCCCCACCCTTCCCTTCTCCTGCCCCTCGCCATCATCCCCAGCCTTCGCCTCCTCCTTCTCCCCATCGCCACCCTCCCTCTGCTGCACGCCACCTGCCAGCCGTGCTCTGATGCGCCCCTCCCACGCGTGGCCCAGCAGCTGGGAGCGCTGCTGCCACAGCAGAGCCAGCAGCTCCTCGCCCACCGCCACGCCCCACGTGGCCTGCACCGCGCCCACCACCACTGCCTGCTCCCGCGCCTCCTCCTCGTCCGCTCGCCGCCCCACCACCCCCTCCGCCACCCACTCACACAGCGCCCTCTGCACCGCCGCCACCACCACTGCTGCTGCTGCCCCCACGGCCACCGGTGCCTTCGCCGCCTCCTTTTCAGACAGCACCTCGCCAGCCGTTTCGTATCCTCCCTCACTTCGCCTCCCTCCACCATTTCCCTCCTCTCTCTCTTCTCCTCTTGCTTGCAGTCTAGCTTCACCCAAATCATCTGCTCCATGGGTTTCATCTGCTCCACGGGTTTCATCTGCTCCACGGGTTTCATCTGCTCCACGGGTTTCATCTGCTCCACCCGTTTCATCTGCTCCACCCGTTTCATCTGCTCCACGCGTTTCTCTCCCACCTCGCTCCACGTCTCTCAACTCCTGCACATGCCTCTCCACCCGCTGCAGAAAATGCCTTCGCCACGCCTCCTCTTGCAGCTCCCTGGCTGTAGCACCATCTGTAGCACCATCTGTAGCACCATCTGCAGCACCATCTGTAGCACCATCTGCAGCACCATCTGCAGCACCATCTGTAGCACCATCTGTAGCACCATCTGTAGCACCATCTGTAGCACCATCTGTAGCACCATCTGTAGCACCATCTGCAGCACCATCTGCAGCACCATCTGTAGCACCATCTGCAGCACCATCTGTAGCACCATCTGCAGCACCATCTGTAGCACCATCTGCAGCACCATCTGCAGCACCATCTGTAGCACCATCTGTAGCACCATCTGTAGCACCATCTGTAGCACCATCTGCAGCACCATCTGCAGCACCATCTGTAGCACCATATGTAGCACCAGCACCATCACCAGCACCAGCACCAGCACCAGCACCAGCACCAGCACCAGCAGCAGCACCATCACCAGCACCAGCACCAGCACCAGAACTGAGCTTCAGGCGTGCGAGCGACCGCAGGGCCTCGAGGCGGCACAGGAAGCGGCGGCACCATTTGAGCTCGAAACGCGGGCAGCCCCTTCCGCTGCGGTACAGCAGCGGGGCGATGCGGCGCGCTGCCTGGCGCAGCATGGGGCGCGTGAGAATGAACGGCACCCCATGCTTCCCTAGCAGGCTCCTACCCATCCGTGCACTCATGGTGCCCTCAGGATTGGGATTGGGATAGGCGGTGGTGGCGGATGGCCCTCCTGGGTCCAGTGGGCCAAAGAGGCGCCTCATGTGCTCCTCCATCACCCCACCCGCTGCAGCAGCAGCGCCACCACCATCACCGCCACCACTCTGAGCACCACCGAGAGTTGCAGCAGCAGCACCTGCGACAGCAGAACCAGCAGCAGCACCGGCGGCAGCAGCACTGCTGGCTTCAGCAGCAGGCGAGCCCCAGCGGAAGCCAGGCGGGAAGGAGAAGCGGGCGCGGTCGAGGAGGATGGTGGCGGACAGCTGCTGCACCCACTGCAGCAGCACCACCTCCACTCGCCCCGCCCTCTGCCCCTCCTCCCTCTGCACGCGCTCCTTCACCCGCCCCTCCACCCCCGCCCTCTCTATGCCCCCCGGCAGCACCATCCACCTGCAGGGGGACGCGGGGAGAATGGGGAGGGGGACGGGTGTGAAAGAGCGGGGGGGAGGAGAAGTAGAGGGAGTGCAGAGATGACTGACGACGGTGCCAAGGCAAAGATGGTGGAGGGCGAGTGAGGGAGCGAGGGTGGTGGAAGGGGGAGCGAGGGAGAGAGGGAGGCACACCTGGAGGTCTGGGCGAGGATGGCGCGCAGGTCAAGGGGGGAGAGCACCAGCCCCCAGGCGTGGAAGATGGCGTGCAGCAGCTGGGCGTGGGGCAGGTGGGGGCGGGCGAGGGCGGCCAGGCAGATGGCTCTGATGCGACTCAGCGTGAGGCCTGGCAGCTGCCGCTCCACCACCACGCCTGCCGCCGCATCCCCACACACCAGGTACACCCGCCCGCCCTCCCCCTCTCCCTCCTCCTGCTCCACCCCCGCCTCCTCCTCAGCCCTCCCGCCTCCACTCTCGCCTCCTCTTCGCTCCCCCCCCCTTCCACCTGCCCCCTCTCCCCCACCAGTGCTGCCCCGGAAGGCGGGCGGCAGGCGGTGGAAGTGGAAGTGGGGCAGCACAACGCTCTCGGTGCTCACCTCCCTCTGCAGCGCCTGCAGCTCGGGGCTGTCCATGGCGGGCAGAGGGGACACGGAGCGCCATGCATCATCGTGCCAAGGAGATGGGGACTGTTCGGTGCCACCCACTGCACCCTCTTCTCTCCCACTGCCACCATCCCCTGTTCCCTCCCCTCTCCCACCGCCACCATCCCCTGCTCGCCCCAGGTCTGCCTCCCCTTGCCTCTCCACCGCCTCTCCCTGTGACACAGCACGGCCCACAGGCTCCTCACGTCCCTCTGCTGGCGCTGCTGGCGCTGCTGGCGCTGATGGCGCTGCTGGCGCTGATGACTCGCCACGCTGCACGTGGTCCTCTCGTGGCGCTGGTACTGGTGATTCTGATGCTGGCAGTGGCGGCAGCAGGTGGGCGTCCAGAAGGGCCTCCTCCAGCACGTGGGAGGGCAGCATGGCGCCCTCGTGGCGAGCCAGGCGCATGAGCAGAGCGCGTGCATGGCGGTACGGGTTCTCCACCCCCGCCAGCAGCCCCATCCGCCTGTCCCTCTCCCACCCCGTGCTCCTGCTCGCGCTCGCCCCAGCAGCAGCAGTAGCACCACCAGCAGCCCCAGCTGCACCAGCAGTACCAGCAGCATCACAACCATCAAACCCCGCCCAGTCCTCCTCATACTCCTCCTCAAAGTTCTCCCCCTCCGCATCCTCATCGTCACTCGCTGTTCCCATGCGCCTCACTTTCTTCCTCAGCCTCCTCCTGCCTCTCCGCCACCACTCCACTTCACTCCCACTTCTTCCTTCCGCCCCTCCGCCCTTCCCCTTCTCCACTCCTGTCCTCTCCCCATCGCCCCCCTCCCCGGCGCCCCGGCGTGCCTCAGCCAGGCGCAGCAGCAGCAGCCCGTACCGCCGCACGAACCTGCACGCCCATGCCTCAGTGCACCGCCCCTCCTCCACGCCGCACCCCCGTGCCAGCTCCCTCGCCTTCCCCACCAGCTGCGCGCGGCTCACAGCGCGCCCCGCGCCCTCCTCCTCCGCCACCACCCACAGCGCCACTGCCTCCTCCAGCGCGCCCTCCCCCGCGTCCGCCGCGCCCGGCGCGCTTCCCCCCCCCGCGTCCGCGCGCACCCAGCGCCTGCTCTCCTGGACGATGTAGCGGACGTGTTTAGGCATGAGCCACAGCCCGTAGCGCGCGTGCACGGCGGCCGTCACGATCCGCGGGCTCAGGAACGGCCGCACGCACGCCAGCATCGCCACCTCGTACCGCACGCGCGCTGCTAGCGCGCTCGCCGTTGCGCCCGACCCGTCGTAAGGCGATCTGCTGCTGCTTGCGCCGATGGAGCGGATGGCCGCGACGGCGCTGCCCCGCGCCCGCGACGGTGCGCCCGCAGGTACCTGCGGCGCGTCGTCGACCTCTCTGCCCTCATCGCCCCCGCCGCTTCTGTCCGCACGCAGCTCGCCTGCCGCAGCTCCTCCTGAGCCGTCTTCGCCGGCACTAGCGGAGTCTGACGCCTCGCCGTTATCGCGTGCGACGCGGTCGTCCTGCTTCTCCCCCTGCGCGTCGCGCGTTTCCGCCTCGTTCCCACTGCGCGTCCCCCCTTCGTTCCCCGCGCGCGTCCCCACCTCCTCGCCGCACTCGTCGAGACCCGCGTCGCGCAGCACTTCGCAGCACCACCAGCGCTCGAACTCGAACAGAGGAGGCACGCCGAACCGCTCTGCGACGCGCCGCGCGTACTTCTGCAGGAAGGCCACGATGCTGGACCTCTGGACCTCCCCTTTCCCCCGCGCCGCCCTTTTCGCTTCGAGACGGAGCCGCCTCTCGCGCGTCCAGCGCGCCAACTCCGCCTCAAGCTCCGCGTTCTTATAACGAACGAACGTATTCTTCCCTACGCTGCTTTCGACGGTGGCCTTTCGGTACAGTCGATCGATGTCGCTGCTGCCGAGCCGCGTGCCGTACTGCGCGTTGACGGCCGTCGCGATGTGCTCGTTCGCGAGCTCGGGATGCGCGCGTCGCACGGCGACGATTTCGCGCAGCACCAACGGGCTCACGGCCGCCGCGCGGCTTTTGCCCCGCTGGGCATCGGGCGGAAGCTCCATCGCGCGATCCGCTGCCTGTTTCGTGCGATGCTCCTGGCCCTGGCTCACCGTTGCTAAGATCAGCAGTTCATCTTGTCGTCAGAAACACGACACCTTGTGGGGTGATTGCATCGCTTGGCGTTGAACGCCTATCTATTGACGAGTGGCTGTTTGTACAGACGGGTAATTGCAAATTAGGGTTTCAGGAGCAATGGATGGAAGGTTCAGCAGTGGTGAATCTGTGGCTTAATGCCTTTCGGGCTGCCTTCTGCAACGGCAAAATTGCGCGACGCGCCGGCGCGCGAACTTCTCTCAATCCCATCGACCAAGCTCGCACCGCAGGTATGGCGACTGAACCTCGTCCAAATGGATCGACCTACATGCGCGTCTACGTTATATTCATGCTGCGACCTGTTTTACATTGCGTTACAGGTGCGTTTTGGATATACGGTCAGAATCACGAAATTACAGCATTGGGTTTCGATTCTTTCACCAAAGACAGATTTTGCGACGTGTTACGTCACTTCAGTCCGGTCGCGCCGACAAGGCTTGTCTTGTGCTGATTTTGTTAGGTCTTGTTTCTTATACGGTGCAAAACAAACTAAAACCCCTAGGGAGCCAGGCACTGCTTTCAAAGTATCAACCCTAAACACCTTGCCAGCTCCCGTATTTAGGGTTGATACCTCCCGAATTGTACCACATTCGAGACATCAACCCTAAACACCTTCCATCCGTGTTTAGGGTTGATGCCTCCCGAATTGCGTCCCTGTATTTCGGGGTTAATTTTTTGTCGGCCCCAGCTTAGATTTATTGCTCTAAAATGTTTCAGTAAATCGTGGTGGACACGTGGCAAACAAATGTATGTAGACAAGAATCGTGACACGCGCGCCAACATTTTCGCGCTACCAAAACAGTGACATCGAGAGGGACCACCGACTCCCACGCATCAATACTGGGAGATACAAGTGCAAAAGCGCATGTAGGTCAAACGATTTGGACGAGGTTTGGTCGCCCCACCTGCGGTGCGAGCCTGGTCGATGGGATTAAAAAAAAGTTCGCGCGCCAGCACGGCGCGCAATTTTGTCCTTCTGCAACGCTGTGTTCCTGGCCAGACCAGAACAGTTCCCACGGGTGGGCCCAAAGAAGTTTTCGCTATTGTTTTACTCAGATCACCTCTAAACGGGTATTCTCAAGTGTCAGAAATTACAGAGAAATGGCGGAAGTGCCATGCGAACTGGGCTGGTAAGAGTGGTAAGAGAAGAAAATGACTACATTGGTGCGAGAACAAGGGCAGCAGCGACACGGTGGCGAGCGATCTGGAGTCGCAACAAGAGGAACGCGTGGCGCCAAGGTGGGGAGGGTGGCGGGAAAAACGAGTTGGGAGAAAACCAGAAAATGATATACTTCAGTGACTGCAGACTTCTATATATTTCTCATATCTCATCGCACAAAACTGAGACTGTTGATATGAATATATCTACTTTAGTCTGTATGTCAAATATTAACATTTTCAAGCACAAGGAATAACACCACACAATTTTCATCACAAATCAGGGTCACACGAATCAAACGTAAGAAGCTTCCAATTCTTACAAAACAAATAGAGCCACACTCAACAACAGCTCTTTTTTTTTTTTTTTTTTTTTTTTTTTTTTTTTTTTTTTTTTTTTTGTAGGTGCGTTTTGTTTTGCCCTTATTCATTTTGTATGGTACAACAGACCAGCAAGCAAGCATGTAAAGCGATTCCTGGAACACGCACTAATGACTCAGCCAAACATCAGCCAAAGATGTTTCCTACTAGGAACTTCCTAGCCTCCAAGCAACGTTCTTCACTTCTCCATCGGCCCCTGCATAGTGAACATGATAAATTCTTAGTTGCATTGCAATGCTAAGGGAAGGGAAAATGGAGGGCAGGCCACAGCATACCAAGAAGTGAGATGAGACAGAAAGATATTATAGCTTGCCAGAGCAGAGCCCGCTCCTCTTGGCGATGGCAAATAGATGAATGTTCACCATCTATATACACGAAAAGTTGATTCTTGTTGCTAAATTGCGACAATTGGCAGACATCAACCATCGCAGGAGAGCATCTTGGCCTCAATAAACACGAGACTCTTGAGGTACTGGCACTGCGGCTTGCCCTCCTTCACAAGAGCTTGCATTTCCCTCTCCTCCTTACCTGTGCACTTGCTCTTCCTCAGCCTGGGAACTGGCACGCTGACTTTCCTGCCACGTACATACACTGGGCACCACCAGTGCACGCATGCTTGCACTTGGCTGGTGGCGTTGGGAGGTGGGGGAGGGGGAGAGAGGAAAGAGCATGAGGGTTGATGGGGCAGCAGGTGGGGAGAATGAGAGCGAGTGTATGGAAGGAGGGAGGAAATGGTAATGCCGCTACAGCAGCACAGCTCGACTCACATGAAGCACTGCCAATCAAAAGCTGGACTGCCTCGTGCCCTCTTGCTATCTTCTTTCACCAGCCATTGAAGCATAGCCCTTGTCTGATCACCAGCCATTGAAGCATAGCCCTTGTCTGATCACCAGCCATTGAAGCATAGCCCTTGTCTGATCACCAGCCATTGAAGCATAGCCCTTGTCTGATCACCAGCCATTGAAGCATAGCCCTTGTCTGATCACCAGCCATTGAAGCATAGCCCTTGTCTGATCACCAGCCATTGAAGCATAGCCCTTGTCTGATCACCAGCCATTGAAGCATAGCCCTTGTCTGATCACCAGCCATTGAAGCATAGCCCTTGTCTGATCACCAGCCATTGAAGCATAGCCCTTGTCTGATCACCAGCCATTGAAGCATAGCCCTTGTCTGATCACCAGCCATTGAAGCATAGCCCTTGTCTGATCACCAGCCATTGAAGCATAGCCCTTGTCTGATCACCAGCCATTGAAGCATAGCCCTTGTCTGATCACCAGCCATTGAAGCATAGCCCTTGTCTGATCACCAGCCATTGAAGCATAGCCCTTGTCTGATCACCAGCCATTGAAGCATAGCCCTTGTCTGATCACCAGCCATTGAAGCATAGCCCTTGTCTGATCACCAGCCATTGAAGCATAGCCCTTGTCTGATCACCAGCCATTGAAGCATAGCCCTTGTCTGATCACCAGCCATTGAAGCATAGCCCTTGTCTGATCACCAGCCATTGAAGCATAGCCCTTGTCTGATCACCAGCCATTGAAGCATAGCCCTTGTCTGATCACCAGCCATTGAAGCATAGCCCTTGTCTGATCACCAGCCATTGAAGCATAGCCCTTGTCTGATCACCAGCCATTGAAGCATAGCCCTTGTCTGATCACCAGCCATTGAAGCATAGCCCTTGTCTGATCACCAGCCATTGAAGCATAGCCCTTGTCTGATCACCAGCCATTGAAGCATAGCCCTTGTCTGATCACCAGCCATTGAAGCATAGCCCTTGTCTGATCACCAGCCATTGAAGCATAGCCCTTGTCTGATCACCAGCCATTGAAGCATAGCCCTTGTCTGATCACCAGCCATTGAAGCATAGCCCTTGTCTGATCACCAGCCATTGAAGCATAGCCCTTGTCTGATCACCAGCCATTGAAGCATAGCCCTTGTCTGATCACCAGCCATTGAAGCATAGCCCTTGTCTGATCACCAGCCATTGAAGCATAGCCCTTGTCTGATCACCAGCCATTGAAGCATAGCCCTTGTCTGATCACCAGCCATTGAAGCATAGCCCTTGTCTGATCACCAGCCATTGAAGCATAGCCCTTGTCTGATCACCAGCCATTGAAGCATAGCCCTTGTCTGATCACCAGCCATTGAAGCATAGCCCTTGTCTGATCACCAGCCATTGAAGCATAGCCCTTGTCTGATCACCAGCCATTGAAGCATAGCCCTTGTCTGATCACCAGCCATTGAAGCATAGCCCTTGTCTGATCACCAGCCATTGAAGCATAGCCCTTGTCTGATCACCAGCCATTGAAGCATAGCCCTTGTCTGATCACCAGCCATTGAAGCATAGCCCTTGTCTGATCACCAGCCATTGAAGCATAGCCCTTGTCTGATCACCAGCCATTGAAGCATAGCCCTTGTCTGATCACCAGCCATTGAAGCATAGCCCTTGTCTGATCACCAGCCATTGAAGCATAGCCCTTGTCTGATCACCAGCCATTGAAGCATAGCCCTTGTCTGATCACCAGCCATTGAAGCATAGCCCTTGTCTGATCACCAGCCATTGAAGCATAGCCCTTGTCTGATCACCAGCCATTGAAGCATAGCCCTTGTCTGATCACCAGCCATTGAAGCATAGCCCTTGTCTGATCACCAGCCATTGAAGCATAGCCCTTGTCTGATCACCAGCCATTGAAGCATAGCCCTTGTCTGATCACCAGCCATTGAAGCATAGCCCTTGTCTGATCACCAGCCATTGAAGCATAGCCCTAGTCTGATCACCAGCCATTGAAGCATAGCCCTTGTCTGATCACCAGCCATTGAAGCATAGCCCTTGTCTGATCACCAGCCATTGAAGCATAGCCCTTGTCTGATCACCAGCCATTGAAGCATAGCCCTTGTCTGATCACCAGCCATTGAAGCATAGCCCTTGTCTGATCACCAGCCATTGAAGCATAGCCCTTGTCTGATCACCAGCCATTGAAGCATAGCCCTTGTCTGATCACCAGCCATTGAAGCATAGCCCTTGTCTGATCACCAGCCATTGAAGCATAGCCCTTGTCTGATCACCAGCCATTGAAGCATAGCCCTTGTCTGATCACCAGCCATTGAAGCATAGCCCTTGTCTGATCACCAGCCATTGAAGCATAGCCCTTGTCTGATCACCAGCCATTGAAGCATAGCCCTTGTCTGATCACCAGCCATTGAAGCATAGCCCTTGTCTGATCACCAGCCATTGAAGCATAGCCCTTGTCTGATCACCAGCCATTGAAGCATAGCCCTTGTCTGATCACCAGCCATTGAAGCATAGCCCTTGTCTGATCACCAGCCATTGAAGCATAGCCCTTGTCTGATCACCAGCCATTGAAGCATAGCCCTTGTCTGATCACCAGCCATTGAAGCATAGCCCTTGTCTGATCACCAGCCATTGAAGCATAGCCCTTGTCTGATCACCAGCCATTGAAGCATAGCCCTTGTCTGATCACCAGCCATTGAAGCATAGCCCTTGTCTGATCACCAGCCATTGAAGCATAGCCCTTGTCTGATCACCAGTGCACAGCTGGCGCCACACTGGTACATCACTTCTCTGATTTCATACAAGAGAAGCTGAATGGCAGATTCATTCATTATTGTTGGCAAGCAAGCAACAAACAGCAAGGCACATACGAGGAGGAGCAGCGCGGCAGAGCTTCTTGGCTGCGTTGAACACGAGGCCCTCGGGGCACTGGCACTGCTGCTGGCCGTCCTTCACAACGCACTCAGCAGCTCCACAATCCTTGTGGCACGTGGCTGTTGTGGGCACCAGAGGGGGGTTAACAATGCAGGCATTTAGTGACAAGAGGTCAATAGCAATACTATTCATGCTAGCATGCCTGGACTTCTTCTGTAGCATGCCTCTGTGCTTTGAGAATGACACACCTCAGGTCAAGCGACGTTGACCTTTGTGCGTGCTGCACTGGCACTTACTGATATTGCAGCCAACATATTGCGGAGAATTAGTTGCTTTGAGGGGCCTGAGAGAGGGAGAGGCAAGGTTGGAAAGGACAACAATTACACTTCCCGTGACATGCACCACGCTCAACACATTATGTGGCGTGCATCACACATGTGGCGTGCATCACACATATGGCGTGCATTGCACACCTTTTCGTGGCGGGGTAGGAACGGCCCTTCTTCGCAGGGCGTGCGATCGTCAGGCCCGGCTGGCCCATGCAGCCCTGGCCAGAGAAGAAAGTCAGGCTCTTGCACATGCCATTGCCAACCTCGAAAAGATACGGGGCATCCCACACGACGGTGATCTTGCCGTCGCCGCTGCTGGCGCTGAAATTGCTGCACACGGTGGTGCCGCTGGCCTGCTCTGCCGGCACCGCGGTGGAGAAGGTGGTGGATTCCTTCCTGGAGTTGCGCCCACTTAGCTCCACCACCGTGCGCACCAACGGGGCTGAATGACCATTGAAGCATCATTGACAGACGAGCGGCAGTTGAGGCGATGATTGATTTGATGTTGCCGCGAATTGGCCGGCAAATGTGACGATGATGGGGGTTTGGAGGCGTTGGGTTGAGGTGGGACAGGGGAAAGGAGAGCAAGAGGGAAGACAGGAAGGAAGGTGCGGGAGGAGTGAGGAGACGAAAACAGCGCAGCGATGTCTCCAAAAATGTGTTTGTGTAAAGATATGTATCGTATCGTCTCACGCTCAGAGACCATCAGTGGAGCACTCACGAAAGCACGTCTTGTCGGTCTCGTTGAAGGTAAACCCATTCATGTAGCACGAGCACACAGCATCGGGCCCTTTCGAATAGCAGATTGCATCGTGCCCACACTCCTTGCCCAAGAGAACACACGGATCTGCGGGAAAGTCATAGGGCAATGGGCTTACACAATCGCACACTCACCCACACTTGCACATTCAACCACACTCCAGTGAGCTTGGGGGAAGGGAGAAAAATAATGGACGGAAAAAGCCTAACGAATAAAAATCAAAGCTCACTTTGCGCAGCAATAGCTGATGCTAGCTCAGGAGCACTTCCCTTCTGGCTGCACGAGAGCATAGATCACGAGTAGACCCAAACACTCAGCCATACTACTTAGTAATTCCGGTACCATAGCTCAACCCCGTGCCATTCGCGCACTCACTCGCTTTCCACCACTCACCGTAGCACGACCTTTCTGTCTCGTTGTAGGTCAAACCCTGGTAGCACATGCACTTAGGAAGGCCGTTGGGAGGCATGTTCACGCAATCAGCATCTGCCCCGCAATCCAAAGGACATGGGTCTGCAGGGAAGGGAAGTTCAAGCACGTTCCCAGGTACAGGAGGCGAAGGGGTCTGAATCTCGTACAAAAAAAGGGGGGGTATTTTCTTGCACTCGTGCACCCACCCTCACGCACCACACTCACGCACCCACCCACTCTCTGAGCACACTGAGCGTGAGAGCAAGAGGTGGGAATAAAAAAGGCGAGAAGCGAGCGTGGAGGCTGAAGAAAGGAATGAAGGAGGCGAGAACCAAGGCGGTGAGAAGCAAGAGCCGAGGGTGAAAATGATGAGGTGGATGCATGCGAGTGGGAAGCAATGGAGAAGAATGGAAAGGTGGAGGTTACTAAGAAAGAAGAAAACGACCGGATTGAGCAGCAACAGGTGAACCTGACTAAGAGGTGCTTGTATTGAAATGCGTGAGAGCACAGGTCACTGTTTATGATATTCAGCCACTGCTCGCCACCGCTCACTCGCTCATCTGCACTCACTCGCTCATCTGCACTCACTCGCTCATCTGCACTCACTCGCTCATCTGCACTCACTCGCTCATCTGCACTCACTCTCTCATCTGCACTCACTCGCTCATCTGCACTCACTCACTCATCTGCACTCACTCACTCATCTGCACTCACTCGCTCATCTGCACTCACTCGCTCATCTGCACTCACTCGCTCATCTACACTCACTCGCTCATCTGCACTCACTCGCTCATCTGCACTCACTCGCTCATCTGCACTCACTCGCTCATCTGCACTCACTCGCTCATCTGCACTCACTTGCTCATCTGCACTCACTTGCTCATCTGCACTCACTCACTCATCTGCACTCACTCACTCATCTGCACTCACTCGCTCATCTGCACTCACTCGCTCATCTGCACTCACTCGCTCATCTGCACTCACTCGCTCATCTGCACTCACTCGCTCATTTGCACTCACTCGCTCATCTGCACTCACTCGCTCATCTGCACTCACTCGCTCATCTGCACTCACTCGCTCATTTGCACTCACTCGCTCATCTGCACTCACTCGCTCATCTGCACTCACTCGCTCATCTGCACTCACTCGCTCATCTGCACTCACTCGCTCATTTGCACTCACTCGCTCATCTGCACTCACTCACTCATCTGCACTCACTCGCTCATCTGCACTCACTCGCTCATTTGCACTCACTCGCTCATCTGCACTCACTCTCCCATCTGAACCCACTCTCTCATCTGCACTCACTCTCTCATCTGCACTCACTCTCTCATCTGCACTCACTCGCTCATCTGCACTCACTCGCTCATCTGCACCCACTCTCTCATCTGCACTCACTCTCTCATCTGCACTCACCCTTTCATCTGCACTCACTCGCTCGCCACCATCACTCACTGAAGCACGTCTTGTCGGTATAGTTGTAGTGACCTTTGCCATCGTTGCACACGCAGTAAGGAGTGCCATCACGATACTGAGTGTAGTGAGCACTGGACCCGCACTCATAGCTGGCACACGCGTCTGCTGGGCGGATTCACGCACGTTTGGAACAAAAGACAGCGGGGCGAGGGGGGTTGAAAGAAAGAAAAAAAAGGGTCATAAGTTGCGTCCTTGCAGTTGCTCACCAGCCTGCACATAGTAAATCAGATGCCGCGTGAGAAACAGGGGTAGAGACGCATGAAGGATCTAAGGGGCAAGAAATACGACGGTCATAGGCATGAAGGGTGAAGAGAGTGGGAAGCACGAGCGGTCAGTACTCACCAGCATCAGCGGCGCTGGCGTGGGTCGCGAGGAAGCTGATGGCGACGAGACCCGCGACGAGTGCGGCGAAGCCACACAGGCCGGACGGGAGCGCGCAGCGCTCCATCGCGCAACGGGAGAGGAGACGGTCGCCGGGGAAAACGGGGAGACGGGAAAACGGTAATCAGCGATCACACGCTACTGCGAATAGCTAGCTGTCACGTCCGAGTTGCCGTGCCGTGCCGCGACCCACGTCGATGGCGCTTGTCGCGACGGCAATTCCCGCAGCTTGCAAGCGCGGGCAGGTGAGAATAGAGGGATCTCGAAGGTGCGACTTAGAGAGGAGACGCAATGCCAGTGAGAAGCTGTGCGAGAGGAAGCTGTGCGAGAGGAAGCTGTGCGAGAGGAAGCTGTGCGAGAGGAAGCTGTGTGAGAGGAAGAGCGACGGGCTTCGATATATGTGCTGAGCGGTGGATAACTCTCGGGTGGATGATAATTCAGATCTTGGGTGGATGATGATTCAACTCGGGTGGATATTGCGAAAAAAAGGCCCGCGCAGCGGCCGTGCGCAGCAAGGGGTAAGCTCAGGCGGATCGCCGCTGCGCCAAGCCTAGCAACGTTTGCCTTGGGGTTGCTCGACCCCATGCGGCCTCTGCCGTGGGAAGCTAATCTCTCGTGTGGGGCAACGGCCAGCAATCAGCGGGGGGTGTTCAACTAGCTATTCCCGCCATGGCCGCAAGGGGAGGAACATGGTAGGGAGGAACGCGATAGGGAGGAACCGATTGGAGGATCGGGAGAGAAGTGACGCCGGCAGCGGGGATGGCGGGAGGGACGCGAGTCCGTTTCAGAAAGCGTCGGGACCGGTGAATGTGAGGAATCTCGCGGTGGTTGACAGAGTTCAAGGGTTGAGAGATTGGTTGGGCTGGGAGTTGAGTTTGCGAAACATGGTGGTGTCGAAGTCCCTTGACATGGGACGTGGAATGACAAGTGCAAAATCTTTCGTCAAAGTTACCAGATCCGAGATCCTTTGCGCTACACTGCACCAGCTGGGCAAAAGACAGTGCGACCCTTCACACAGCAATCGTTTTCGCCAGTGCGGTTATTTTGAGAAACGAAGCAAGCGAGACAGTTTGCGAAGCTGTAAGCTATGATAGGGGAATCTGACTCGCGGTGGTGCGCAAAGGAGAAAAGCTTGCGCCAGTGCTGCATGTGCGCTTGCGCACACGGCGGACCTTTCATCAACTACAGGACTTGCGGAAGGGAGAACATCACATGGCAGACGAACACGTTCCCTGCGATGGAAATTCCGACAGACAGCGTACAATCGCGTTCAGCTTCGGCATTTCCAATTGCAAATGTGCGGGGTAGGACGGACATGCCGACGGTGAAGCTCGGTACCTTTCTGTTATGAGTGTAACACGTTCCACCCAAGCATCCAGCGAAGCACTCCCGCAAGTCCCGCAGTTCCAACATGACGAAAATTGCCCTCACCTCCAACCCCCCTGCGCCCTCTTTACGCAGGACGCTTTGCGTCCATCTCGCTCCGCACGCCCCACCTTCCCACAAAGGAACGGAACGCGTTACACATCCTCGAGTCCAAGTCAGATCAGAAGGTAGTAACGCGCTCGTCACGCCAATGTCTCTCTTGCCGAAGTCGCGCAAACCCCATGCGGTTTGCGCGAAACGCACTACTAGCAACATTGGAGGCGGGAGCTTTTTTTCTTTCCGCCACGCCGCAGAGTTTGAGTTCCGCCTCGGTCTTATTGCCTCGGTCTTATTGCATCAGTCTTATTGCCTCGGTCTTATTGCCTCAGTCTTATTGCCTCGGTCTTATTGCCTTGGTCTTATTGCCTCGGTCTTATTGCCAGTGGCAATCAACGCTTGACCACGCTGGGGCCGCGCCAAACCCAGCGCTTTCAGGCGTCCCTCCCGCCATGCCGTGCCCTCATCCGCGACTCCTTTCGCGTTCCCCGTGATGGAACGCGTTTTGCCATCATCCGAGAGTGTGCAACGCCGCTTGCGAGAGCAATTGACCACTCACTCTCAGCACATAAATCGATGCCCGCTTATGAGGCCCAGTCACAACTCGATTGCCCTTGCTCTCACACCGCCCCTCGCTGATAGCGTGCCTCTCCGTCTTATCAACTGATAGCAGTACTCCCTTCTGTCGCACCTTCGAGGTCGCACCCGTTTCACCTCGTCGCGACTACCAGCGACGTGAGTGCTATCGGCGGTTCAAGCCTTGCAAAGAAGTCGACACGTTTCGCCATCCCGCCGTGGTCGCTGACTCCCCGTCTCCTCTCCCGCCGTGGTCGCTGACTCCCCGTCTCCTCTCCCGACGCGATGAAGAGCTACGCGCGCCTGCCCGGCCTGTGTGGCCTCGCCGCACTCTTCGCGGGTCTCGTCGCAATCAGCTTCTTCGCGACCCACACCAGCGCAGCTGCTGTTGGTGTTGCTAGTGAGTACCGACTGTGGCACCCAAGCGTTGTACTTCAGATTCAGACCCGTGCGCGCCAGTCACGACGTGCCCAAAAAACTCGATCTGCACTCCAAAACATGGAAAAGGGATCTGCAAGTGTTTCCCCGGCTACATAAAAAAGGAGGACCATTGCGTTGGTGAGCTGCACTCCATACTCTCTTCTGCGGCACCCACCTTTATCACATAGTCACACTATAGATTCATACGTCTGAGCCCCTAGAGCAGCCCTGAGAGCCAGCGCTTCCATGCCCTGAACCATGCCCTCATCCAACCATGCCCCATCCAACCATGCCCTCATCCAACCATGCCCTCATCCAATCATGCCCTCATCCAACCATGCCCTCATCCAACCATGCCCTCATCCATCCATGCCCGCATCCGCACTAACTTCCGCTCCCCAAACCCCCTCTTGGCTTACTTTGCGCTACCTTCCCCTCTCGCTTCCCCAACTGGATGGCGCGGCGTCGGCCCACAACATCACCACCACAACCATCAACGCACTTCCTGCCACGATATGGCGCCGCCAACCAACGCACCATCCATCGCCACGGCGGCTGGCTGCTCAGATGCCATGCTGCTGACGGCAGTGCGGGTGCAGCAGACGGGCCCAGCCCAGGAGGTCTTCTGGTTCGTTTCCTCGGTGCTGCCGACAGCGCGAGCCAGTGGCACAGCGTGCAGCGACCTGGCCTCCAGCACCGCACTCAACCCCCAGCTCAGGAAGCCCAACGCGCATGTTAAAATCACCCTCGAGTGGAACTCGTCGTCAGTTGTCAACGGGTATAGCACCGGCTTGTGCGCAAGCGTTTTGTTTCACAACGCCCAGAACTGCAAGGGCAAGCCGGGCTTGAAGATCTTCCGACCTGAGAGAATTGGGACTGTCTACCCCGACACGAAAAGGTGTGTGCATGTGTGACCATGATGCGATGCACGCCAGGTGCCAGCTGTTGGGCTGAGAAAAGCCCTTAGGATCTTTGCAGGACTAAATTCTGAGTAGGATAATGTAATAGCGGAAGCGTTTAATGAGAAGTTTGTGAACCACCTTGCGCTGGTATGTGAGGGCAAAGTAGATTGATTGAAACAAAGAGATACAGGCTTTTATAAGAGTACAAGGAATACGAAGAGATATAGTTAATAACCGTTTTACTGTTGCTGTTGCGGTTCGATAAAGTGACGACTCGGGCAACTGCTCAATAGCGAGTCAGTTGTTTGTCCTTGCCGTCGTGCTGTACTTGTCAGGTCAAAGGTCACTGACCTTTGACTTTTGCGTAACCTCCAGCAGTTATTCAACCTCCGAGGGTTGACTCGCTAATGCTTCGATATGTTTCGCTTCGCTTCGGACTTGGTGTTTCGACACGACAGAGGCGCTAAATCAATTGTTTCCAACACTCCCCTTCGCTTATGGAGTGTCGCAGCTGGTGACGTGGCTTTGTCCAGTCAGCAGCATGCAGTACTCGAACTTCTGCTTCCCGAGCTTCTTGGTCAAGTAATCAGCTGCCATCTCGGACATGGGACAGTAAGACAGCTCAAGTCTCCCCTTCTTGATCTCGTCCTTTACGAAGAAATATCGCAGGGCAATATGCTTCGTTCTGTTCGCGAATCCGTTTTTGTTGGCTATGCGAATTGCCGACTGGTTGTCGCAGAACAAGGAGAAGCTGGGTAACTAAGTCAGCTTCGCCTCCTCCAGAAGTTCGCGAAGGTACAGTCCTTCCTTGGTGGCTGAGCAGAGTGCGATATATTCAGCTTCAGCTGAGGAGAGAGCAATTAACTCTTGCTTGCTCGACTGCCAGGCGATAGGTCCGATAGGCTCGAGGCGATAGATGTAGCCGGTGCGTGAGCGTCTGTTGTCGGAGTCGCCGGCGTGATCGGCGACGTAGCCGATTAGTTTAGGTGTCGTAGTCCCGTTCTTGTGGTAGGTTAGACCGACGGTTGAAGTGCTGACGAGGTAGTGGAGAGCGCGGTCGAGTTCCGCCATGTGTTCTGCTTCAGGTTTCTTGAGGTAGGTCGCGAG